CGCGCCGCTTCAGGTGTATGACGTCATCATCGACTAGTCAACGTCGACTCGATTTTCATTACTTGACAGTCGACTTTAAAAAAATTAAGTCGTGCAGCCCCTAGTTCACGGAGGTTCGCGGCATAATTTTAATGTTCTGTTTGTCTTGTCCAGTCAGCAATGTTACACAGCTTTCCAAAAGCTCACTAACTGAGTTGTGTTGGGCCACTAGTGGACACATATTAGCATATCCTTCTGTGTCATCAGTAGTGGATAGTTAAATTGTGTTAGAATTAATTTAGTAATTATTATTATTATTTTCCTCCAAAAGAGAACCCCCAGTTTCCCCATTATATTCTGCATTTATGCCAAGGAGGAGCCTTTGAGTTATTTATTGTAGTGGGCAGGCTAATAAACTTAATCTTGTTTTCATCACCAAGTGTAGGAAGTGTTTGTAATACAAGTTATTTTTGCTGTAAAATGTTAAATATTAAACAAAATATTAAACAAAATATTAAACAACTTTTAAAACCCTTCCAAGCGTTTGTCCTGGTAAAATAGCACACGTGTCAGAGAAAAAGCTCTATAGCCTTTGCAAGTTGTTTAGCAATTGATGATTCTAATACAACCACATTAAAAGTTGATATTTTCATGATTTTATTTTCATTAATGACAAACTGTGTTTGCGGTTCAAGCCTTTCTGATTCTCTGGGTCTTTTTTAATTATAGCTTTTCCACATGTAGAAGTTCCAGTGTCAATGTATGTTTTAGGCCACTAAAGCAGTTGCTCCAGTCCTGAAAAACTGGTGCTACAGCAGCACCAACACCTCGCTGGTCCAGAGCAAAGAGCCACTTGCGTCAGAGGCTTGGGGCAGATTAACCAGATCAACCACCACTATTGAGTTCTGTGTTTAAGAATCCAGATCAGTGGGGATAGAACAATTTAAAAAGTGGTTAGTAAAAATGTGGAGTTGAGTCAGAATAGTGAATACACAAACTCAAACCTTCTCGCATTTACCTGTTGTGTTAACATAAAGGCTGTCATTGCTGCCTAAATTTGATTTCTACATCAGCCTTGCCCCCCCCCCCCCCCCCCCCCCCCCCCCCCCACACACACACTCTTCCTACCAGATTTCTTTTAGAACATTTTAGTTTGCTTATTAAGCCTAGTTTAAGCTTTGTCGTCGGTACAGAGACACGCAACACCATAATGCGCCATTATAGCTTTGTTGTTCTGATTTGATCTATTTCTGTATTAAGCTCATTATGATTTTATGACTTTATGCTTTGTTTTGTTTTGATCTATGTGAAGCACTTTGTGATTTTCTGTCTGTGATGAGTGCTTTACTAATAAAATTCACTTACTACTTACATTGCAAGGGCTCCCCAACAGGCTCACAAGGACGAGCAAAGTCGAGCCCACATTTCTAAACATCCGTCTAACGAGATGGAGAATGCAAACTTGTGACTGGCCAAGATGCCGCTTCCTTTAAGTTCGTTCAGAGCACTGCTACTGCGCCCTAAAAAGAAAATGAGAGCTGAAGATATCTAGCAGCAGACACTCGCGGAAAAACAAACAAAAAAAAAAAAAGGAACGTTTACTCACCTGTGACTGGAAGAGTAAAGATGCGTAGGAAGCATTTTATTCGTGGATGGATATGACAGGAAACATGGGTTTAGAGGTGACGAGCGCATGAAGAGTTGGAGGAGAATGAGGGACAAATTTGTTCCTGTTAAAAAGTCTCTGAAATACAAAAACCACAATATAAACAGTAAAGTAGTAATAATAGTAAATACACTATATTGGACCAGATTCAATTCAATTCAAAGATACTTTATTAATCCCAGAGGGAAATCAGAGTTTCAGTACACACAATTCTGAGATCAGACATGCATACATAGGCATAGACACATGGCAAGAATTGATGACTGTGGTCATTCGCAACCCGAGTCGCACTACCTTAATAGAGATCAGAGGGTTTATATATGAGGATCGAGTCAGGTGGAGGAAAAAAAAAGGCACTTCAGTTACCCTCCACAGGGAGGGCAGCCTTGCTATGCAAAAAACACCTCAGAGAGAAATGCAACAGACTTCAGACATTACACAGCATAAGTGCCCACTAGGTGGGTTGGTGGGTTGGGACTCTCCACACCTCAGTGCATGCAGCCACGATAAGCAGCGCTCGTCACCTCCGTTTGGACAGGGCAGGGAGGCAGATGGTAGAGGTGCTGAAAAAAATCGATTCAAGTCTGAATCGGGATTCTTATTTATAAAGATTCAGAATCGATTCACAAAGGTTCAGAGTCGATCCCAAGAACTCAAATGTTTGGCATATTACAGGTTTGAGATGCACTTTTGTCTGTTTTTTTTAATCTTTGTTAGGAGAGTTAGTACTCCGTTTACTTTTGTGGTCCCATGGATTGAGATGATTTATTTTTGAATCTGCTGATAAATGGGCACTTGAATGTAATTTTTTCCATACTCATTAATTTGTGATATTCTCATATTTAATTTCTAAGTTGATAAGTGAGGGCTCAGGATTACTCATGTATTTATTATCTACAAGTTATTGATAAATGAGAGAACACATTTTCCGTTGTAAGAAATCTAAGGCACTTTTTAAAAACAGGTTGAGGACTCATATGTTAAACTTGTTTCCACACATACTTGAAAAGTATTTGACCGTATTACTTTCAAAGCTACTGTTAGGTAACTAAAGATTTGTTATATTTTACAAGGTAAGCCTTTTGGTCAAAAGATTGCTTCTGTTTACAGTTTTAGAATCACTTTATTTTACCTTGTAAATTTGCATTTTTTTTGAGCATGACCAGTTTAAAGTAAAATAAAAATGTCCCATAGCTTTAACTAACTTGTACAACAACGTAGTTAATCCTGGAACTGACACTCTTTGTTAACATTGATTGTGAATTGATTTAAATCAAGAATTGTTTGTGAATCGAATCGAAACCCAGAGAATCGGAATCGAATCAAATCGTGAGTTGCTCTAAGATTCACATCCCTAGTAGTTGGGTTTAGAAAGCACAGTGACTCCTGGAAACGATTCAACAGCCTTCACCGGTCGCAGTCCCGCTCAGGCTGGGATAGGGAGACAAGAGTTGCCATGGTGACCGCAGCATTCCACATTTCTTCTGAGGGGGAGTAATCACTTCAGCCTCACAGGCTCAAGGGCACCAGATTCAGATAAGAACTTGTTTTGGGGCCAGACAGAGATAATTTCTTCTCTGTCTTAAAGTTCTGTTGGTCCTCAACACCTCTAAATCTAATAATGGCGTAATTAATCTATCCCAATCCGTGCTGACCCGTCAACTTTCTCCTTGATCGAATCCACTTTCTGTGCCAGAGTCTGAATCTCAGCCAAAGTTCCAAGCTTACGACTCATCTCCACAATTATGAGTTTGTGCGTTCACAGCGCGGTGTAATCCATCCCTGAGCTCCAGGATTGAGCCAATATTCCTCGACAGCTCATTAATTTTCCGGTAAGCCAGGTAACCACTCAGGCCAAAAAGCAAGAAACCTGACACAAACACCACGAATATCCAGACGTCTTCAGAATCCTCTACAGACATTTGAGAGAGGCAGATCAGGTTCCACTGTTTCCAGGAGTCCATGATATGCCCAGCTGGCTCTGTCCCAGAGGGGCATCCAGGAGCCCCTTCTCCCGTTCTCATCGTAGAAAAAATTTTGTCAATCACGTTGAGAGACCAACTGACCAGATCCATTTGAATAACTTCCAGTTTTCCGAAAAAATGCAGAAGCGTCGTACACCAAAAGACAGACAAAGAGCCTTGGGATAAGATAGGGAGGGGAGGAGGAAAAAAGCGTCTGTACTCTCCAAGAGCCGGAAGTTAGGAGTATACCCCAGAAAAGTGCTACGCCCTCTTTATTCCTGACGGGGAAATGCTTTGCAGTACTCTCCAGGAGACAGAGAAGTTGGAGAGTGAAATGTCTACCTCAATGGCTGTGCGTCTCTCTTGTGGAGCTGACGTAGAAACATAAACTAGGCTTTAATCTAGCAGACATGTCTGAATCTATGGAACTCTGGGTGTGTCCGAATCCACGGGAAGGATGCTTGTAAGGTTGCATTTTGAGGTCGATGACGTAGGGCTGCTCGATTATGGCAAAAATAATAATCACGATTATGGTGACTGAAATTGAGATCACGATTATTTAGGACGATTTTTCAATTTATGTTGATTTTATTTGTTTTTATTCAGTCATAAAATTGCTCAGGGCACAATCAGGGCAAAAATAAATAAGAAACAAGATGATCACTAAAATAACTCCTGATTCCCAGTATAAAAAGACCAATATACTTACAGCAAATGACCCAAGGGCTATAGACCTTGGTTTAACTCATTTAAGTCTAACCAGTACAGACCCAAATACCAATATTTTGCAAATACTGACAGCAAGAATTATACAGTGGCATTTATAACAAATAAATGCAAATAAATTGATGTTCACAAAATGTTACATAACATGTATTGAGTCGTGTCAAGGTGCTGTAGGAGAGTGCACTAGCACCGTGTCCTCAGAGAGATTAGTTATCAGCGTGAGGAACTTATTTCTACCTTATTTATAAACTATTTATTTACAAGTCCATCAGTTAATGTAATAATTGTCCCAACCACAGCTGCACCCCCCACCCCCCAACCCGGTCTCAGCAATCCGGGGCAAGCTGCACGTGTGTTTAGCACGCGCACATTTAACCGTTTTTAGTGGCTCAGGAGTCTGCAGGTACGGTGTGTGTGTCACTCACTCTGGTTAATCCAACAAGGAGCCGGCTCCGAGAGCCGTTTCTGTAGCGACCGACACATCACTACATCATTCCCTTTCCTAATGTCCTGAAGAACGGTCCGGAGCGCAGGTGGAGTGTTTAGCTAACCTGCAGGAAATGTCAACGACAGTTATCCAGAAAGTAGCTAAGGGTTACCAGAGATGTTTCTGAGGTGTTCGCTAGGTACTTTCAGGATTAAAAAGTCAAGAAGGGGGTCTGAAAAGCTGCTAGAAATAGCGTCAAAGTCGCTAAGTTGGCAACACTGTGGAGGAGCGCTTCATTTGCAACTCAGGGCAGCGCAAGCGGGAGGAGCAAATAATCGGCTTGTTTTGATTTTTATAATCGTTCAAAACTCAGATCGTAATCGTGATTAAAATTCGATTAATTGAGCAGCCCTACGATGACGTCACAGCGCAGCGATGAATACTGTCCGAATTCCAAGAATACTCATTCTCGCGTCCTCAAACGCGTCCTCGCTCCGCCCACATTTCGAGGACGGGTCTGTTGTATCCTCACAGAACAAAGCTATCCCAGGCACCGGCTGTGGATTTTCAACAGGAAGAGAAAATGGAGAGAGCTACAAAGTTTTAAATGTAAGTTTGTTAAAAACTAGCTGTAGAAACCTAAAAAGCTTAAAGCGGTTCTGTTTATAGACATGAATTGTTTGTATTTTTGTGTTATAAATGACATTTTAGGCAGAAATCAGCCAGAACGAGTTTGTATCGCAGGTCCCAGTTATTCCCTTGTGTGTGTGTGTGTGTGTGTGTGTGGCGAATTAAACTTGTCATTTGTTTTAAGGACAACGGAGCAAAGAAGCGTTTTTAATAAGCTTAGAGGTGAAGAGTGAAGCTGTTTACACACACAACCACAGAAGTTCTTCTGTGAAAAGTAGTTTTACATTCAGGGATTTACACAGCTGACACGTTTTAATGAAGTAAAAAGTGTTTGTGTGAAGAATAAAAGTTTTATCTTCTCATGTGGATAAATGTAAAAATGTGTTTATTGCCTTTTTGTCACCTGTGGTCTCTGATTTTCTCTGTAGGACTGCAGGTGTCCAGGGTCAGGAGAGGCTTTACCTGTTGGTCATCCTGGGAGAGAGGCCTTCTACTGTCATCATGTTAATGTTATTTAGCTGTTTGATATTTGAACACGTTTATCAAAACAAATACTAACTGATAACTCTTTCTGGTCATTGATTTTATCACCAGTTTTATTATTACAGATGTTTTTGAACATGTTACATGAACAGAAAATGTAAAGATGATAAGGAGACAAGATTATTTATAATACGTTACACTTATTTACAGATCAAAACCAGTATGGACCGGTTATGTACGGTTAAAGCAGGATTAACCTGACTCTTCCTGGATCATTTATTTAAACTGAGTGAGCAGGAAGTCTTTAACAGTGCAGCTGGATCTGCTGCAGGAGGATCCAGACGTGGATGGAGGGCTGGAGCAGACCCGTGGCTGGACGTTTCTGGCCAGAGGAACATCATACAGGACGGTCTGCAGAGAGCTTTGGGAAGCTTCCTCTCACTGTCCACTCCATCGTCCATCTACAGGGCCTACATTGAAAACACTTCAGTGCTATTTTATTAAAAAGCCTGTTAAAATGTTTTACCCCCATTTGATGCTAAATAAGTTCTAAGGTCCAATTTACATTAGAAAACATCCTACTGCATTTAACATTTATAATGCATTTGGTTTATATTAATTACCTACATGATAATACTGTAGAAATATGTTGTGTATGTTTAACAAGTTCATTCTGTAGCTTAAAACATACATGAAACCATCTAAAGTTAACATGTAAGTCCTGAAAGCTTCTAGAATAAACAAAGTTACTTAACCTGAAAACGGTTGTGAACAAACGCTGCTGATGGACGTGAAGCTGCTGCAGCTCCTTAATATTCCTGCTCGATTTTCGCTAGCTTTAGCATTTTTCCTTTGCGTGTAGCTGCCACCACGGCTGTGACGGGACCTACAGGCCACCGTAGACGTGAAGGCTAGACTGTCCGAATTCAGAGCCGCTGGGTTCCGGTCTTAGCAGTCTGGCAAGGACCCGGCTTTGCTAGACCGGCGAGGACCTGTTCTCATAAGCATCCTGCCTGTGGATTCAGACACACCCTAGGATTGGGACATTATTACATTTAACTTGTACTAAGTTTTGTAACTTGTAACATGTTTGTAACTGTGACTTTTGTTTTGTAGCATGTAATGAATGTTTTGTAACACGTAACTTTCATTTTGTAATGAGTAATTTTTGTTTTGTAACATGTAACTTTTGTTTTGTAATGCATAACTTTAATTTTGTAGCATGTAATTCTCAAGTACAAAACATTTTGTCCCAATTCTAGCTTGCTTCCAACAAGAATTGTCTTCGACAGGAATTCAAGACTCATGATTGGTTGGTCAGACAAAGCCTGTCATTGTTTTTTTGGGAAGGAAGCTAGATTTGGGACAAAATGTTTTGTACTTGTAGACTTTAGTTTTGTAACTGTAGACTGAGATGTGTGTTTTGAGAGTTGTGATTTGAAACTTGTACATTTATTGTTTTCTGCAAGTTACAAAATGAAAGTTTCATGTTACGTACCAAATGCTACGTGTTACAAAACAAAAGTTACATGTTACAAAACGAGAAATACAAGTTAAAAAATGGAAGTTGTGTGTTACTAAACAAGAATTACATGCTACAAAACAAAAGTTAGTTACAAAACATGATGCAGCTTACAAAGCTTAGTACAAGTTACATGTAATATTGTCCCAATCCGAGTTCCATACATACGATGTACATTGGTGATATGGTGATGTTGTGACGAACCTAAAATTCATATTTTTGGCCTGTGGGAGGAAACCAAGGAAGGTGGAGAAAACCCACATGTGCATGGGGAGAACATGTTTACTCCATGAAGAAATGCCGCAGCCAGGTTTTAAACCTGCAACCTTCCTGCTGTGAGGCAACAGTGATGCCAACAATGCCACAGTGCAGCATTTGGCGAAATTTGCAACTACGCTATATGATTTGTTAACTGAATATCACAAAATGGTGTTTGTTAATCCTGTATCTCTGCCATGTTCAGTAAGAAGTGAATGTTGGCCTATAAGAGGGAACACACACACACCACCTGTGGCTTTTAAAACCAAAACATTCAGAAACTACACAGGATATAGAAACATGTTTAGTAAAATATAAGATGACATTTTTTTCTGCATTGCAGTCTTTCAAAAATGTGATATTACTAAAGCTGTATAGGGTGATGTAACAATGTTTTTCTCTGGTGTCTCTGGCTGTGAGTAAAACCAAATGTCTCAGGGAGCTCCAACATTGAAATGGATTTAGTACCAGTCAGCACCTGTACAAGTTTTAATTAAATAAGTGTGCTTGGTTTGTGATTGCAGATACATTTCAATTACAGATATTTGTCTAGATCCTTGCGTTGTGGAACAGCATGTTTTATATGGTTGCTGCTTTAAGGGAAAGATCATTGAGAAAAGGATAATCTATAGTAAGATCTGGTGGATGTGAGTCATTGAATCTACAGTCTGCTGTTGCTAAGGCCACCAGTGAGAGATGGAACATCCTGCTTCTCTTTCAATATGTTTTCCCCTTGATACCCTGCAGGTTGTGGACATATGTACTCTCTCTCCTCTGTTTTGGGGAAATATCAATATAATAACATACAGGTTTATGAGGAATTCATGTCAAAAACAGCCTTATTTTGGTTGGCTGTAATAAAGGAGATACATTTTTATAACAGACTTTAATAATATCTACTCTTAATTTAACAACTATATGCCAGGACAGTTACTGCAACACTATAGTTTAAACTAATACTGTGAAACTATGTAACCACTGTCTAGTAAGAAGTAATCAGTTTGTGTCAACCAGGTATCCATTTCTGCCTCTGTCTCTGAATCAGTGTTTGCAACAGCATAAGAAGAGTGGCTTTTTCTAGAGAGATTTGATGAGCTATTTATAGATCCCTGCCAAAGCACCAAGTGTGGTGCTGTTGCTGCTGCTTCTCTTCTCTTTACTGCTCTTGAATCTGTTCATTTACCTCCATCTTTATTTGTTCCACCTTCTTTCATGTTCTGTTTTCTGAGCTCATTTACTTCTAATGAGTTTTCCTTTAAGAGCTGTTTCATTTCATGTTTCCACTTATGTGTTTTTCATTACTTTCCCTTTAAATGAATTATTGATCACAACAGAAGGGAAGTGACTGGTTGCCTTAAGTTTAGCTTTAGATTGAGCCTTGGATTGGCTTTAACTTATTTGAGTAGCGATGATCCAGACACACAGATGTGGAAAGTCAGTGTTGATGTTTTAGATCCATATTCTGGTTGAAATAACACTTGTAAACAGTATAAAGAACGACCACGTTCTAGTGTTCTGTCTTGTTTGAGTGATGCAGGTAGAAGATGAAACGTGTGAGATGCTGCTGTTCATCTATGGATTTTTCTATTCCCCTTTCTCCTTCTTTCTACTAACTAAGCCTCATGCTTTCACTCTTGTGAAACGGGCTACCTAGCTGTTCAAGTCCAGAAGCAGCTGGACCGGCCCTAGGGCATTAGATGGTATTAGTTCATTGCCATCCACTTTATCCCAGTCATGTGGTCAACCTAAGTCAGATCTTTCCCCAGGGTCATGCTAGGACAGCAAAGTCATTAATTGGTTTGATGTCTCAGCTTAGGTAAGGTTAGCATATTCTTCACAAAGTATTGGGTTGCAATTTTTTTGCCTGCAGAAATAAGTATATAAGATTAATCACAACTAGTTTTGTTTTGGATCTGAAGGAAGCAAGCATGTGTACTTGCTCAAAAAGACTCTTCACTGAGAAACCATTTTTTCACTCATTGTTTTTGAAAATGATCGGTCACTCTGTTAGGGCTGGGCAATATAGCGTGGTTGCAATATATCGTGGTATATTGAGGAATTTACTTTGATAACGAAAAATGGACAATAACTATATGTATGCGCAATAGGGCTGTAGCGAAGCGTCGATGACATCGACGGCTTGATTCTAAAAATTCGTCAACGTCAGATCCGGTAGTCGACGCACCACACCCACTTGTTGCATCCCCAGGAGTTTGTAAATAGAGGAGGAATCTGCCTGTTTTTCCTCTAGTTCGCCCTCTTCTCCGCCTTCACTAACATCTCCACCAAATACTGAAGACCCAGAACAATGTCCGTCCGCTACTAGATTCCTTTCCTGTTTTGCCCGCCTTCGTCTCCAGGCAACGGACAACAACTTCCGGGGTCAGATGCGCTGCTTCGTCTCTACCGCAGATGTAGAAAATCGCAGGGAGCGTATCCAGGGGCGGTTCTGGACCAAATTTTCCAGGGGGGCCACAGTGGGGCCAGTATTTTTTCATGGGGGCGCAAGAAAAAAAAAGGGAATAATTAGGGCAATATCAAAATTGTTTTTTGTCTCCGCCATATGACTAATTTTGTGCTTTTGCACAATTTTGCCAAAGGAAATTCCTAGTACTGTGAAACTACTCACTTTTTTGTTCTCTTCTTTTTCATATCTATCTTTACTATATTTTGGGGATCAAATGTATCAAAAATTTTCCTTTACTTTTTTCCATCTATGATCTGCATTCCCACATTCTACATGTCACCAGAACATAACCACAATAAAACCAGTGTTATACAAAATGGAAGGCCTGTAGCGTTTATTCTCTTACAGTAACAATTTATCAATTTTTTTGAGGAATTTATTTGAGATTTTTTGGTTTTTATTAACTGTGCAATAGAAAAATAATCGTTAGATTAATTGTCTAAATAGTCATTAGAATAGTCAACTATTCAGTAAAATAATCATCAGAATAATCATTTTAAAAACAATCGTTTACCCCCAGCCCTAATGCGCAAAAACAAAAGTTGTTCACAAGATGGGGCTGTCACCTGTGTTATGTTGAGTCTCACTGCAATGTGACTCGAGGTAGTACAGCTTCTTAAAGGGACATGAACGTTGCCAACCTACACCCATCCATCCATCCATCCATCCATTGTCAGAACCCGCTTTGTCCACATAGGGTGCCAATCTACACACATCTTTTTATCTATTTTTTCTTTAAATCTATTGACATTATTAAAGTGATATCAGTTAGTCAGAAATCTTGATAACGATATTGTTTTGACTATTAACCCTAGTTAACCCACCGTAAAACGTCTACAACATCACCAATAAAAACAAAAAGACAATGGCAAAAAAAGTTTAACTGAACGCTCGCAGCAAAAGCAGAAACAGTGACAACAACCATTAGGATTGCTCCATTTCCACCTAGGAAGTGGTTGAAGTCTCTTGTGTGGGAATATTTGAGATATTTTAGGTATATTCCCACACAGGAGACTTCAACCACTTCCTAAGTTGAAATGGAGCAGTCCCGATGGTTGTTGTCACCAGTTGTTGCTTCTGCTGCATTCACGCGTTAAGATTCACTTTTGTCCATGTGGTCGCGCTATTGTCTTTTTGTTTTTTATTGGTGCTGTTGGAGATGTCTTTACGGTGGGCTAACCAGGGTTAATAGTGAAACTGGTTGATCCCTGCAATCCTAGCTGACTGACATCTGTAGCGGTGAGTTTGTCAAATTGTTCGTTGTCCAGTCGAATGCAGAGGTCCTTTGAAAGACAATAGTAGATTCCAACCCATGACTGAGATCTGTCGATGGGTCCTGGCCAGACTATATATTCACTTGTATAGGATGATCTGCTAGGCTACAAGTATTGTAATTAATTTTAATCTTTTTTTTTTGCACAAAGTCCTGCAGCAATTTCATAATGTTGTGATTTCTGACGTATATGGCAATAAAACCCTTATGATTCTGAATTCCCTTTAAGTACTTAACAACTATGAACCAAGTGTTAAGTTAGTTATTTATCTATTTTGATGTTCTCCATCACTCCACCTCTATAACATAAAGTGTGGTCATTCTCAGGTGTGTATTTTGTAGTGATCATCCATCCTGTTGTTATCTTCCTCTTTGCCATTTCAAGATTACATTATAATGAATAATTCCGCTTTACTGTAATTATTTTAACCTCAACACGTAGAGCATACTCCGTTGTTGTTTTGACTTGGCTACACGGACTGTTAGAACACTGATATACAGTCACACAGTTCCTGTAACTTTCAGAGCCTCCTAAGAATTGTTTTATCTTCAAATAAATATTCATCACAATTATTTTCATAGTGAAACATAACGGGGGATGCTTTGTGAAGATAAAAGGAAAACCCCACTTTTCCAGATTTTTCAGCTCAAATTTTGCCTACTAAAGCTGGATATGCGTGCCACTAACTACCCATATAACAGACATCTTTAACCTGTGGAAAGTTATTCCCATTCCTTTGGTTGCTGAACTTTTGACTGCTTCATTTTTATAACATCTTTCAGCTGACGTTTGCAGTTAAGTGGCTGCAGGGGGTGCATGTAAATATGTTGCCTTGTGAGATTTGGGTTTTTCCTTGCTAATGAGATGGCTTCATTATTTTTCTCCACTGCCTTCCCTTCAGACTCCCATCTTCTCAGTGTCATTGCATTTAGACAGTTGCAGCAGTGCTCCTGTTTCGCCAGCAGCTGTCAGTACTTGAGGCTTATTAAGTTCTGCAGGCATGGGCTGCAGACAGAGATTTCAGATATTTGCAGTGAATGATGTCTAGTGTGTGCCCCCCGAGACAATGTGACGTAGTGTCATTGTAAAAAATAAAAGAATACCAAGCCTTGAATTGTAGCTACGATAGCATGAATGTATTTGTGAGCTGTCACTATGGTGTGCTGCTGCTGTATCAAGTGACGTGTTAGCTGATCTAAGCAGCCCTTTAAACAGCTGGGCTTCTTGAATGCACTGGTTTGGCCGTCATTACAATTATATTGTTACACAGAGGCAGAGAGCAAACAAGATGTGTGGGAGAGAGAGTGAGAATCCACACGAAAGGGAGGGTTTGAGAAGGGAGCACTGCAAACTGTGCGCATAAGAGCGATAGGAGAAGAAGGAGCCGGCTTGCAAGCAAGGTTTTCCGTTTTCACTGTTGTGCTTCATTCAGAAAAAGAAAGGGGGCAGTCAAAATAGACTTTTTGTACTATTTTCTTGAAACCTGTTTAGAAAACCAAGCTGAGATGCTGCACAAGAGGAAGGGCACACAAAGTGTGAAGATGAAGATAAGTACATAAAGCTGAAGATAGTGGCAGAGGTGAACTCTCTTCAACCACTTTATACCTGCTGCAGCAAATGGAATTTTTGCATTTATGCTACAGGGACAGGTAATGCTACTAAAACCGTGGTTTTGATTCAGAAGCTGATTCTGCTGTCTGTTGATGATCACGTAGTTATGAGACTCCTGTTCTTACTGGAGACCTGGAGTACAATATTTATGAACAATGTGTCTTTTCTGTGTCTTTTAAGTTCAGTCACTTGCTGATTAGATGCATCTTCTGCTGTAGGTTTGGTTTAACATGCTGCAACTTCTTTCAAAGTTTTCCATAACATAGCGAGCTTTATGATTATATTAGTTTAGACCATAGTTTTGTATTATGTATATCATTTTGTATTTGTAAAAGTAAATCAAATGTATTCAGTCTGCCAAAATGAGAATGCAAGTCATGTTTGATTTGACTTAAACATTAAAGGTTTTAACCTGATCTGAGATTTTAATCTTGTTTGTACATATTGGTCAGTTTGTGTTAACATACAGTTTGCATGTACAGGCACACCTACTGCTTTTAGTGAGGCAAATGCTGAGGTAATAAGGATTTCCCTTCCTCTGTCCCTATGTGGGAGGGTGGAGGTGGCCTAGTTGGGTGGAGAGTCACCAAGAAGTAGGCGTTCCTCTGAAGTACTGTCAGTCTGAGGAGGAAGAGAGGGAACGAGGGGGGGGGGGGGGTGTTTTAGCAGAGTGAGGATTACATAAGGCATATGGAAAATTCTGTATTGATGCCCCTGTTATTTCTTTTTGTTTACTAATCTTACATAAACATGGTGTCATGAGATAGCTTTGCTTTCTCTTCGAATAATTAGATCTGTTTTTATACATTTAGGTAGAAACTCCCTTTGATCAGTGAAGCCTATTCTGATTTATACCTGCAAATGTCTGTGTATTTGCCCTTTATTTGAGGAACACAGTGTGCAGGAACAGAGAGAACGGAAAAGAGGCGAGAGAGGCAACACAAGCGTGAGAAAAAAGCACAACAGAAGCCTCTTGAATAAAAAATCTGTAACTAAAAATAGCAGCCCATCCTCATGGCATGATTACCGTTTCAGGTTTAGAGGAGCTGGCATTCCCCTCTTCTTTGCGAGTGTGATGTATCAAGCCTTGAAAAAAAATCAGACCCACACTCATCAATTCCTCCCTTTTATTCTTTTACCGTTCACTTGGCCCAAATCTGTCTGGTGCTGGGTCTGGCCTGTTTATATAATGCCTGCCTTTAGTTGCGCATATGTGCATCTGTTAACAGAGAATGATAAATCAATATGTATTTGTGTTCTCAGCTATTTCTTCTCTTTTGTTTGCTTAATGTTCTTGAAGTGATGAAATGCTCCATGATCCTGTTTTCTTGTTGGTTGGAAATGGAAAAGGCAAGTGACCACCACAGCAACCCCAAATTAGATAGAAGCTCCCCATTTGGTGTCAGGTTGCTGGAGCTAATATTGTTTTGATGATCCTGCTGTCCTTTAGTCCAGAAAGGAGGGATGGGGATGTGCAGGGAAAACTAAAGTGTTTAAAATCTTGGTTTTTAGCTTAAAGGTTTTTAGCTATATGTTTGTCGATGGTTTTTAGACTAAAAAGTCTTGAACTAATGTGCAACCTACGTTGTCCATTCTCAGGTGGACATTCAGCTCTCCCTGGTTACATTTACAGGTGCATCTGATGCATCACTTATTCATATGACTTTATCAACAGGGAGTACATTTTTCTTTAATTCAATTTTGTCACTGAGATCTTTCAAACGGTTCTCAAGGGAAAAATGTTTAATGGGAATCACTTAAAAAGTTAACGTTGACTAGGCAACTAAGAGATGAACATTTTAGAAAGTACCTTTTTTATGCAAGTCTATGTATGTTAATGAAACATACAGAATAATTAATATCAATTAAATAAATTGCACCTCATCTTTTTGGCCTCATTGGTAACTACAGTAGTTAAGATTTCTAAGCCAAGAAGAACAGAAAGTCTCTCTTTATGTTAGTGTTTCACGTACCGAATTTATTTTAGCCAGACTAAGTAGTTTTCTGCAATAACAATGTTTCTTGCAGTGATCTGAGCCTAACTACATGTTAATATAATGCTCATAACGCAAGTTGATCATTTTTCTTACTTTTATCTCTTCAAAAAATTCTTTCCTACAGCGCTGCAAAAGTACTAAAACACCACTTACATGTAACACCTTTTGCACTATCTTTAGACAGTTTCACATAAGGGGAAATGCTCTTTTTTGCACCACATAGTTTGGTAAACAGTGACTTAGGACTGTTTATCTTTGGGTAAACAGATGTATAGCACATTGTTATAACCGAATAGTTTTAATGTTACAATCTATAATTTTAAAGAACGTTTATTGCATTCCTTCTCAAACAGTGCTAAAATAGGTGACGCCAATTAGTAAATAAAAAAACCCATTTGGACTTTTCTCTTTAAAAAATACTGAACTAAGCCAGTTAAAGATCATTCTGAACATGAAAAAACTTCTGATCCTACATATTCTTGTGCTTAAATTTCATGCTCAGAAAAGTAGGTTTACTAATTATTTTCTTGTGAAAGCAAATGTTTTGCATATTAATAAAAGTTATATAATTTTACTAGATTCTTAATGTAATCAATAAAAATATTTCAGGTAGCAAAATTTAAAAATTCATGTTGAAAATTGTCTATTTGAAGTTGTATGCACAATTTCCAATAATCATTACGACTGCTACGAGTTTCGTATTTCCGTCTAAAAAGTGAGCATGTCCGTGTGGTCACTTTATCTAAATGCAGTAGATATTTACCATTACTCCTGTTGCAGAAAAAAACTCATGTGAAGAAACTGAGATATGCCTTTGTAAATGTTGCACGTTAGTAACAATTCGCTCAATTTTTCACTGTTTCATGGAATCTGTGTGCAGGAGTGGATATGTTTTTTTGGCAGTAATGGTGTAGCTAAACCGGTTAAGTTCCCTTTCAGTCAATTCACTTGGTACAACAAAGGTACTATGGGACATCACGTCATTGTGTCGCCTGGCTGAAAATGTACATAATCAAGCCTAAAAAGGCAAATGGGTGTGATGCTAGGTCATGGCCTGTGACAGAGCTCTTGTCATCCTGGCCAAAGTTGCTGTCAACCTGCACTGTGCCTCCAGACCAAAACTGTGCTGTAATTGTACTCGTATTCAGAAAATAATCAGTCACAATTGCCTTTTGTCCTATTTTTCTCACACAGCATGCAGTCTCCCTCTGAGCATTAGCTTATAATCACAGTACTACACATTTGCAATGAGAAGTCTAGCAACCAAGTTTGTTATTTGGCAAAAGTTAGATGAACTAATTTGTTAGTATTACTGCCATGAGAGCACTATTTATTGTGCATGTTTCATAACAAGCAAAACAAAAACCAATATCCAAACCCCAATCCAAAAATAAATCACTTTTTTTTTATCTCCTGAGTCTTCCAAATACCTTTGTTAGAAAAAAATAGCAAGAGGCTACAGTAATGTAATGGTGATCACTAGGGTTTTTCAGTTAATCCATTAATTCAGTCCACATCCTGCCCATTATCACTAGTGCATTTACATTCAATACATCTACAGATAAGTTTATTGTTTAAAATAGATACTATTTATTACAAAAAAAGCATAGCCTAGGCTACCTGACATTGTTTACCACCAGTCTCTGAGCAATGAAAAAAAACCTGTTGTAAAATTTACAGTGACCCATTAGAAACAGCAACTATAGTGACCATTATGTTGCAGGCAGAATAAAAGAAGAGGTTGTATTTTGCATTACATCATGGTGAACATGTGAGTACATTCCAAAAGTCTGTGCACACACTTATACAATGCAGAAGTTGCAACAGGGTTATTTTTTCCAGTGAGGACAGCAGGTGAAAACTGAAGATGTGAATGTTAGACAGGAAACAAGAATGCTTTTACTGCTTATGTAAGGCAGTGCAATGTGGATATAAATATAAGTCTAAATAAATGTTACTGAAAAGTGAATTAGTAGTATTGGATTGATGCTTCTACACACACTTGCACATCAACATTAGAAATTAACTGATTTTCTCTTTTTGCTTGTGTCAAATCATTTATGTTTATTAGAAAGTTCATCAGCACTAAACCAGATCATCTCTGTCTTCATGTGTTTAGACAATGCTCTAGGGAGGAGATATTTGTCAGTTTGCACTTTTGTGAGAGGGAGAGACAGAGAGACTCACCTTCTGATTACTTTAAAAACCCCACATGTCTATGTGAACATCTGCAAGCTATGTATGGTTGTATGCATTTGTGTCTGCAGTTGAGCTTGGTTGTCCGGCCTATAGCAAAACCCCCGTTCACCGCTGTTTCTGTTGCTGGTGTTCCGGTGTGCTCTTTTATTTTCCTGTATGCAAGTATTTAATGGAAAATACAAAGGGCCTTGTAATTGGATAAATCAGTGGGGTCGAGAGTGAAAGGAAGGAAAAATATGGGGGTGTTGAGGGATATGGCAGCTTTTCTCTTGGTGACAGAGCTTGTTGCCATGGAGCTGGTCTTCCCATTGGTGGAAGTCTGGGCCAATCACATAACAGTGCAGTTTGTTTCATCATTGAGAAGTTTTTCCGTCTCTTCCTGCCTCGCTACCCCTTGCTCTTCCTTCTTTCTCTCTTGTCTTCTCTCCCCATCCTTCACACTCTTTCACTGCTCTTTGTTTTCACACAAAAAGAAGCTGATAAATTACATAAGATTTATATTAGGTGCAGTGGCTGCCACCCAGTTTCATTCTGACACAGTTAAATCAGCAGCAGTAAAGCAAGGAGAATCTTCTGCAAACCCTAAAGTTTTCACTAAACCTCAGTTTAGTTAAAAGTTTGTTCATTGCACAGATATGAAAATTTATTATTTTGCATCATGCCTGTACATATCCACAATATGTATGTGTATATATATATATATGTATGTATGTGTATATGTATATATATATATGTGTGTGTGTGTGTGTGTGTGTGTGTGTGTGTGTGTGTATGTGTGTGTGTGTATGTATATATGTGTGTATATATATATATAAATGTGTATATATAATGTGTGTGTATAT